AATATTTTATGTAATATTTATGATAAATATATATAAATATTTTTAATAAGTATTTTTTACTTGGATTATAATGTCATTATGTATTTTCATAGTATTTACTATACAAAGATTATGCGTTTCGCGAGTTTCTTCCGTGTCCAGATCCATTTTTGGAATGCCTTGGAATAGTATTTACTATACATTTATAATAAATATTTCATAATATTTATGATAAATTTCATAATATTTATGATCTGTGCAATCTCAGACCACAAAATATTTACAAAATATTAAAAATAAAGCTTATAAATATTTATAAACATTTTGTAAATATTGTGTAATTATCTGGGTACTTGACTTATTACAAATGTTCTAATATTATATGGAAAAAAAGATCTAAAAAAAAAATTTTGTCGGATCTCAAAATAATTTTGTTGGACTATTAAAATAATTATATTGGAAACTAAGAAATGATGACCAATCTATGAAAAAATGTGATATTCTATTAACCAATCTCCAACAATATCATTTTAATGGTTCAACAAAATTATTTTCAGATCCGTTCAAACAAAATTTTAGACTTTTCTTTTTTAAGATTTTAAATTTTCAGCAAAATCTTTTTCTTTCCGTGTAATATTAAAAATAATTAGCGCAAAATAACTGTCAAGTAAAAATATAATACTACGTATCGAAAATTCTACTGGATTTCATTAAATTAAAAATTTCCATTCATTCACATTAATTAAAACAGAAATCGATAAATTAATATAATTGGAGTAGATTTATTTAATTGCTATTTATTATTAATGAGAGATTGAAAGATGATCAATTGATTAGTTATTAATCAAAATTTAAAAAGATTTAATTGAAATATATAAATTTTAATTAATAATAAGCTTTGATGTGAATTCTGGCAGACGCAAAAATGCTAAAAAATGATACACTCACCGAGTTCTTTGACGGTAATAGGTTGATAATTCTCAGGCTGATGGGAAGACTGAATCAATCTAGCCTGGCTGCCAGTACTTCCCGCCGAGATAGTCGACGTAGTGCTCAGCGTCAGATGATTAGGTGTGCGGCCGAGAGTCGTTTTCTTCTCGCCTAAAAAAGCCTGCGAATCTTCCTCACCTTCCGACTTTGTACCCGAATCCATCTCGACCTTCGCTTCGCCTAAAACCCAAAATAATAAAGCGTTGAATAACTTATCAATAATGATGCCCATTTTGAATTGAATCATTATATCACTTCGTACTTTTTTTATTATTTTATAATGTATTAATTTAAATATTTTTTAAATGAATTTAAAATATAAATGAAAAACTTTTTTGGATGGATATAATAAAATATTGTAATTATAGATTATAAATTTACATATCAGAATCTATGTATAAAGAAAGATTTTGCTTAAAATTAAAACTTATTTGAAGTCTTATGAGAGTTCGTCTTACCGGAAGTGTCACTTATAGTCTTGCTTCTGGAACGAAATGTTTGCTGCTGGGGAGCCGGTGCATCCTCTTGATCCTTATCCTCTGAGCTTTCGTGCTCCACTGGCTGCTTCGAGTGACTATATTTGCGCTTCTGCGAACTGGACAGCAGCTGCTGCTTCATTGCCTTTTTTGAAAGCGTACCGCCATTTCCGTTCTGCGTCTGGCCGACCTGTTGTTTGTTAAATTTTTCCACGTGGCCGGTCGACATTCGCGGCGCCATCGACATCGGCGCCTGACTTAGGTTCTGCTTCGTCGAAGGTATGCTCATATTTCTCACCGACTCACGGATGATCTGCCGGATCGTCTTCAGGAACGCATTACGAAATTCTGTTGTACTGTAAATGGAAATTTGAGGCAACGTTAGGTAAGGAGATTGTTTAATCATTTGTACAATGATAAAAAATAAATCCAATAACATTCTGTTAGTATAGCTGGTTATTATTTCTTTTAGGATCTCATCTTCTATCTGTTTATTTGTCAAACAATTTCAACATTATGGACTTCAATTATTTTATATGATGACTTTAATAATTTTAAACACTTAATTGATATGGACTATAATGAAGAAGATTCAATCTAACTTGATTGTCATCCCACATTATAATAAGCATTAAAGAACACCTAATTTGGAATCGAATTGTGCGATATATATTTTGTATGTAATTACTGGCAAATATACACAATAATTTCACGCATCATTAACTGCGTTAGCTCGTATCAATTAAGAAATAGCTCAATCCAAAAACATATTATTACGAATCTATGTATGTTGTCAGCAAATATTTTTAGAAAAAAGAAAGCACTGTATGTATATATAGATTTTGCTTAAAAAAGAATATAAAAAGTGTAGCGGAATATATTGGTTTGCAACATGAAAACAATTTGATTGAAATATGGCAACTGGATAAACGAAATATTATTTAATTTAGCAGCAATTTATTTCCAATTTGACAATATATCTTATTAATTTTCTTGTTCAATTTATAACGGCAGTAAAACTATATTAGCTGCATAATTGATTGCAGTCAAGTGCTATCATGGCCATGAATCAATTGCCACGGATACAGATCAAACTGCGTTATATTTTATTATTAAATTTAATAAATCGAGATAGTTTATTTTTATAGAGAATTTATTTTCGCTCTTTTTATTTAGATTTGTTTCAATTTATATTCGTCAATTCAATAATTAATCAATCGATATAAAAAGAATTTTAGGAAAATACCTGTTGGATAGCACGTATACTTTCTCCGATCTCCTTTGTAATTGACTTCTTAAATGAATCAATTCCCACAAGAAGTGGGACTCCATATCTTTGGCGGAGCTGGCCCTGACCTGGACTTCCGTCACCGGGATTAGCACCTGATAACGGATGATCTCTACTTCACTTGAATTAGCCTTCGTCGAAACTCCCTATAAAAATAGACAATCACTTCTTGAGTATTAAAAGCATTACGAGAATCTATTCATCGATATAGAAAAATGGGTCAAAATGGATACTGACCATGAGCTTCTTTTTCTGTCGCAATCTCTCTTTGCATAGGAACACGACGGCCGATTTAAATACGAAGCACATCGCATGTAACTCGAGACCTTTCTTTATCTTGCCGAGAAAGTCGGAAATATTGAGCCACTCGACACCGCCGTAGTACAAAAGATCGCCTGGACTTAAGTCGATCGGCTGTTAAAAAATTAATGCGTTAATTGATGATATTCTAAGCTATTTTCTGTATAATGTAAAAAATTATATAAAATTATATTCAAATTATATAATCAGAACAAGAAAATTCTAAGTTTATAATGTAAAATCTAAATAACAATTAAAAAGAATTAAAAGAGGTTTCTATTTTTCTTGAAATTATAAAATAATATTTTCGAACTTCAGGTATACAACATTATCACTTGTTAAAATATAAAAAATAGCTGAAAATTACAATTCTCGAATAAATTATTATGTAATATTTGTTATATTTTCCTTTTCTAAGGATTGACTCACTTGTTTGCAGGACTTTTGGTGTTGCCTGAACAAGTGATCGAAAATAGCGCCATACTCTTCGTGAATTCTCTGCATTTCGTTTATGTGTTCCGCCACCTTTTCCATACCTTTGAGCGCCTCTGCGCACATTTACACATTGTGATTAAAACTCTGATAGCGTCTTAAATTATTGTTCATTACGGTCGCACAGCATCCTAATAATTACCGATTAAGTGTTGGTGTTCTTCGCTTCGTTCATCGGTGAGATTCCTAAGCTGCTGTAACAGCAGCGGATACTTGAGTATTCTTTGTATAGGTTTTATTAAGTACGATTCTAAGGTCGACGAGTGTTGCTGCCGGGGATTTCTTGCTTGCAGGAACTCTTGTAAAGCTTGATTTCCCTCGTCTGAAATTGTCAATTATCTTAGATAATTATCGGGAAATTGCTTCGTTCCGTCGTAATGATAAGAAATGCGATTTGCATAAAAGAAAAAAAAAAGGATTTGTCCGGTCTGTCATTAAAATTTTCAGATTGTCATTAAAATTCAGATTCTAGGACATTTCTGCATAAAATTTGCACATTAAAAATTGGAAGGCAAATGTAACGCTTGAATTAGCTTGAATTATTAAATTTTCAGAAAATATAAGATAAAATTTTGCGGAATAATAGTTGCGTGACGTAGAAAATGACCGAGCGTTCTCTTTGAATGGTTAATGGCGCAACCTCTAGTGGCACAAAAATGTCATCCACTTGCGGAAGGTTGACATGAATAATAAATCGGATAACTTTCCGGATACAATACTTTTATAGAGAGTAACTTTTATAGAGAGTAACGATTGAGGTTGAAGTTATTCCCGGCAAGTGAATTATCGATTACGAAGGATCAGGCGTGTTAATATGGACGAGGAAGTGAAGGTCGATACTCGCGAAAAAGAGATCAAGGTATTTCACTAAGAAACTTACTTGGATGTAAAACTTTCTGAGCCTTCGAATGACTGGCACAAAACGAGCTGTATAGCTTGAAGTGATTTACGTAATATAAGAAGGCACTTCCAATGGAAAACAGGACTCCCTATAATAGCCATGAAAAGTGATATGAGAGTTTCAGCTCCTCGAAGCTCATTAATCAAACATAATTTAGTGCAATATTAAATTTGGATATTGCTATTAAAATAACAATGTATATCATTTTTCATATT